GGCAGGCGCCGTGCGTGTCCGGATGCTGGAAGGGTTGGTGACCGCACATGGTTGGCGACGTCGAAGCCGAAGAAGGCCAGCGAGAAGATCCCCTGGATTTGTTTCGTTCTGGGCGAGTTGTGAAAATATGTGCCCCCATGGTCCGCTATTCAAAGTGAGTAACTGGCACGCCAGCCGTGCTTTCTGTCTGTTTTCTCTGAGGAAGTTTCTCTCGCCTGTGAAGACGGGGGTGATTACCTTTTTCTCCTTTAATCATTTGAGACGGAGATAGATGTGGGACATGTTTTATCTTGTGATTATACTTGGACCATCCCCGCAGTACTGCATGTATGAAAAGCGTCTTTACTATTCATCTCTTCATTTTCATGTGTTTGCAGGTTGGCTTTCAGAACCTTGGTTAGGAAGTACAGCTGCGATTTGTGTTACACGCCGATGATCGTGGCAGCTGATTTTGTGAGATCTGCAAAAGCTAGAGACAGCGAATTCACAACAAACAAAGGTATTTTTTGGTAATAAACCACCCCCTTGTCAGAATGTTGTATGTGGTGATAAACCAAATTGGCCAAGTGAATGAAGTCTGTCACACAACTTGACAGCCATTTAGAATCGTGGTATACTGTATCTGATTGATTGTAAAACCACAGAAATATTTCACAGGAGAGTAAGCACATTCCAGTGGTAGTGGGTCAAACGAAATACTGGAAAACTTTGTCCCCAGCTGAAATCAGGGCCTCCAAACTGATTGAGGTGTGTGGTGGGTTGACCACACATCACTGGACAGTGGCTGTGCACCCATGCGGCTGCTTACTCACTCCTCCTCCACCCCCAGCAACACAGGGAGAGAACAGGGAGAGCAAAAGCAGGAAAAACTCACGGGTCAAGGTGAAAACAGCTTAATGAGTGAAGGAAAGAAGGAGAAAAAAGACATGTGATGCAAAGGCAATCAGTTCCCACCTCACACCAGCTGACCAATACCCAGCCAGCCTCCAAGCAACAGCCACCCTGGAACACAATTTCCACACCTCAGCCCACTTTTCTCTTCCCCTACTACTGCAGTTTTATTACTAAGCTTGATGTTATAAGGTATGGAATATTCCTTGGCCCAGTTTGCGTCAGCTGTCCCAGCTGTGTCCACTCCCAGTTTCTTGCCCACCCCAATCTGTTTGCTGGGGGCAGAGCGAAACAGAGCAAGAAAAAAAGAAAGTTTTGATACTGTGCCAGTACTGTGCAGCAATAGCCAAAACATTGGTGCATTATCAACACTTTTTGTTACAAAATCCAAAACACAGCACCATGCGGGCTTCTATAAATACACTTTAAATAAATTTAAAAATTAACAGCATCCCAGGCAGACCCAGTATGAGATGGTAGTAAGATTCTTTTCCTGGCAATTGCTGTTTCTTGTGTGTTTCAGAGACGAAGACGTAACTCATTGCTGGGAAAAGTGTTCTGGTTACTAACAAAAATAAGAGGGTTGCTAAAGGCGAAAAAATTAATAGATCGGACATTGGTACAGTGGAATCAAGGACTGATAAAAGAAGCAGGGTTTCAGATTAGCTGGAGTGGAATGTGGAAGGGGCTGTCTGTGGACTCCTTGAGATATTGAGAAGGTGATAAAAAGGAGCAAGAGGAGACCAGGAAGTTGAAGCATGGTTAGGGTTGGTGGGGAGAAGCAAGGCTTCAGGCATGGTGCAGAAACATAACCAGAATACATACAAAAAAAAAAAAAAGGAGTGTAAGGAGCTGTACAGAGTCCTGGCTGTAAAGCAAAGAGAAAAGTGGTATCAAATATGTAGGAAGAGGTGACAATAATGATATGGATCTGCTGGCATGAAGTGGCTGCAGTGGAAGAGTGTAATGAGGAACATACAAGCCCAGGCTGCAGCTGGAGGAATGAAGAGAGCACTGCTAATGGGTTAGTAAGATCAGCGTGTAGGATCTATGAACTGTGATGATTTCATCTGTTCAGACCACTAAATTGGTGGTTTCATAGTGTATATAGAATAGCAGGGGAAGTATATTTCATTATTTTAGCACTGATTGTTTACTATGGTGCATTACTCAAATAGAGCAGTTAGAGAGAAATGTCCTGTTGAGAAGCACAGGTAGACTCTGTTACTACTGGAATTCAACTTTAAAAAAGCATAAATAATTCTTTGTGTGTAAAAAAACAAATGAGTAAGAACATAACTGACAAAATATATGGCTCAAAGGTCCACAGAGCCACTATTTTTGTTCCCTTTCAACTTACTTACACTTCTGTTCTGCACAATGTCCTGTGGCATTGCAGTTCCACAGATCAGATATGTAGTATATTCTGGGGGGTGCAAGGACAGAGAAAGAGGAAATTCTCCTTTATGCTGTAACTTTGCTGCCTGATAACAAGGGGTACAAAATGAAATGTTCTAGAGTTGTAAACAATATGTTTCCACTATTCACCTCTCTCATGCTGGCCTTAATTTTATAGGCCTCTAAAACATCTGCTGCAGACAGCTTTGCCAAGGTTATAGTATGTGCATTATTAGCATTTATGCTTTTAACAAGTTGCTCCACAACGGGTTGTGAATTTTTACTGTGGTTTTATGTTTAAATTCCTGGCTTTTTGGGGATTTTGTCTTCTAATTAGTGGAGTGGGTTTGGAGCCTACAATTGCAATTTCTGTTTTCCATTTTCTTTGGCATTGACGTTTCTTTCTTGTGTATTTCTGAAATAAATGTAGATGTTCTTTGTGGCTGCTGCTAAAAAATTTAATATGGCTAGACTCAGTATTTTTATTACTTAATACTCAACCAAAAATTAGGAGCATGGGATTATTCCAAAGTATTAACTGCAGTAATATAAATCTCTTCAGCTAGAGCACTGTCTTACATGGACACTGTTTTGAAAATATGCAAGGGATTCTTTTTTTGCTTGCTGGATTTTTAGGTAACTTCTAGAAGTGTCTCAACTTCGTTGAGAGGGTACTGCTGCTCTCCCTGATCTGAGCTACGCTTCTTCAAGAACTACTTATTTTCCACTACAATAGAAAAATCTTCAGAAGCACTTGCAGTCTTTTCAGTACTAGAAGTGCACTTGCTTTGTGCATTTGTTGGATCATTCCTTTCCATCAGTGCTCCGATATCCTCCTCTTAACTGCAGCAATTGTTTATATGGGAAGTGAATGCTAAGACTGTTTGAGATATTTTTAGATTCATTTAATGTAATGCAGTAGCTGTAAGAGAGGAAAGCATGTTCCAAATGACCATCTGGCTCTCTGCAGGGGCTTAGTAAATCACAGGTAGTTCAGCAGACCCAAGTTGAGGAGCACCGACACGTTGGTTTCCCACTTGAGACAAAGCTGCTGAAGCTGCCTCTGCCCGTGTGTTCTCATTCCAACTTTGCATATTGCATTGTGGATAAAAACCAGCCGTGCTGGCACAGAAGATGAAAAAGGAAGGCTGGGATAAGGAAGGGCAAAGCTTGGGGGTTATTTAGCTCCTTGCTGAAGGGTTGGTTGTGTAAGCAAGTTTCCCACCTGGCAAGACAGACAGCCATGTCAGCACACCAAAGGGACAGCATGCAGACGAGAAGGGGCAGGCTAGGAGGTAAAGCGTGAAGGTCGATAAAAAGTAGAGAATACTTAGTTTCATATATCACCTTTGTGAAGGATAAGCATCTGACCAATTTCAGTCAGAAGAAGTATATGTTGAGCCAGCAACCATCTAGGATACATACGTATGTCTGAATTCCCGCCTCTCTTGATAGACATACTCATTTAGTAACCACTGGTCAGCTACCTTTATTTATGATCTAGGGTTCACAGGATCACAAAATAGTTGAGTTTGGAAGGACCTCTGTAGGTCATGTTATCCAGCCCTGCCCCGCTCAAGCAGGGTCATCTAGAGCTGGTTGCCCAGGACCATGGGCAGACAGCTTTTGAATATAAAAGACACATTCAAAATTTTGAATTTCTTCTTTTATTTTCTGGTCTGTTTTTTTTTTAATCTTTATATATCTTTTCATTGGAGTAGGTGATCATCCATTGATTGTTCAGTTTGCTGCTAAAGAAGCTCAGGTTTTGTGTGATGCTGCCCGTATCGTCTGTCCTTTTGCAGATGGAATAGACCTAAACTGTGGCTGTCCTCAGAGGTAAAGTTTTGAAAATGTTGGCGAAATAATGATGAAATAATTTGAGACTGAAGAATGCTGGTCTTCATTTTCATAGTAATTTTGGTTTTAACTTAAAAATAGACTTTGAGAGAGCAACAGCTTTTTAACCTGTCAGAAATGTCTGTGTGGCAAGACACTGTTCTGAATGTTCCGAGATGTCTGTCTCCATGGTGAGACTGCGAGGTATTGATTGTTGTTTCAGCAGTGAAGTGTCCACCCCTTCTCAACAGCTTTAAAATATGTATTACCAAAAGGAGCTTGCTGCAAATAATTTGGAGAGTGTTTTGAGAAATAATGCGTCAATTCCCAAACTAACGAGGCAAGTCTCTGATGTCTTAGACTTCTGCAAGTGAAGGATAGTCTGTAAAATACAATTATACAGATGATATTATTCAGGAAGTGCTGAAAAGAATTTCTTCCATCTTTTATTACGTTGATAAGTACAGTGAATTAGTGATCTGCTTCTCACTTAAACTGATAAAAGATTTTGTCTTGACAGTGAAGTAGAACATTAATGAACAAATGAAGATTTTTGCTAACTGGTTCAATTGAGAACCATTTATTACATGTTGTTAGGCAGTCTTTTTATAAGTGAAGACCTCAAAAATAAATGTAAGAAAGCAAAAAGATAATATTATGGTGCAAGTACTTAATTTGTCTATTCTAATTAGGTTGTCTTGACTTAAAATTATAGTGTTTGAGAAAACTCTTTTCTGGAGAGATTTGAGACTTCAGAATGGAAGTGTATTTTTTTTTTCTAAGCTAACTACAGTTAAGTATGCCAAACTGTAAGTTCCTTTTAGGCCAAAAATATACGCTCACATTTGAATCCTTTGTTTCTTGTGCTTGCTGGTTTCAAAATAACAAAACTTTGTGCACTTAATCTGCCTTTTTAAGAAAAATTGTTTAAGAAAAAAACTGCTGTGGAAGCAAAGGTTATTTCCTGCCGATCGGAATAAAGTGTTTTGCAGTTGAGGGAAAACAGAGCATTACAAAATCATATCCTTAATTGCACTTCAAAAATCTTCCTTTTCAATCCAAAGTCAACTTCTGTTAAGAAGAAATCCATGACCCAATGAAAGGGGAAACATCAAACTCTTTTATGTATGCTGTAAACTATTGTAGATTAAATGTTAATTTATCTTCCTTGTGAGTCCATTTTGTGGACAAAAAATTGAACTGGAAGAGATCAGTAACTTGTCCAAAGTTCTAACCACACCATGGAGACTGAACCAGGATCTAAAAGCTGGTGTCAAACTGCAAAGGAATCATTGATCTACAGCCAGTACTATCCCTGTTGTTACACTGATGTAACTGACTGAAATTGATCTGCGTTTTTTCAAATGTGGAATACAACTGTTCTTTTTCTTTTAAAGATGGGCGATGGCAGAAGGTTATGGTGCTTGCTTAGTAAATAAACCAGAACTAGTTCAAGATATGGTGAGACATGTACGGAACCAGATCGATAACCCTAGATTTTCAGTATCTATTAAAATAAGGTAAGTCTAACTTAAATGCTGTTTGTGGTACGTGGAAGAGTCCTTTTAATTTTTTTAAAGAAGCATGTTAGTGTAATAGTTACACTATACTTTAATATATGTAATTTTGTTAATGTAATATTGCACTTTATTATAATTTCCTTACATGTGAAGACTGCTTCAATTTTTTGACCCTAGATGGTGAAAGAATGTCTGGGGCAAGTAATCCCAAACTTAGCTAGTAGAACCAGCACAGCCTTTGACTACTTACCCAGATAGCATACGGGATGCTGGAGTTTTCTTGCAATCCAAATGACATGAAAGTACAAGTTAAAAGGTGTAGGGATCCTTAAAAGAAAAGCAATGCATAGTCTGTATCATCACAAATAATTACTTTGTGAGCTGTTGGAGGCCAGAGCCACAGTTGCTGTTGGCTGTAAAGGGAAGGGTGACAAAACTGGGAACTGGTCCTCATAGCTGCTGCAAGGAACACATCCTGCTTCTCTTCATTGCTTTCTCAACTTCTGTAAACTGTTGCTTTGCATGGCTTTGTACCACTTCATCCACTATTTATCCACATATCCCATGTCGCTTTTGCATATTTGTCAGTTAAGTTTCAGTTTGCAGTCCTTCAGGAAAGCGGAACTATTATAAATCAGATTTTTTTCCACAAAATATGCAAAACGATGATGCTTATTTCAGAATCTTTTGGGCACCCTTGATCAATCTCTGTAAAATTTACCATGTATATTTCAGAGATGCGATATAATTGGGAAATGCTAAATTAAATAGTGGTTTCAATACATTAAACTCATATGTCTTTATTAAAAAAAAAAGCCTCTTTGTCTTCCAACAGTAACATTTTATTCATTTATACTGTTACTTACACAAATCTGTGGTAACTCCTCCTTATGAAGGGGGGCTTTTCATACAGTTTCAGGCAACTTACAATCTAATGTTTTCATTCCTTGGAATTTTAGGATCCATGAGGACTTAAAAAGAACAGTTGACCTGTGTCAAAAAGCTGAAGCAACTGGAGTTTCATGGATTACAGTACATGGGAGAAGTGTAGAAGAAAGACATCAGCCTGTACATTATGATGCAATTAAAATAATTAAACAAAGCTTGTCTATACCTGTTGTGGCTAATGGAGACATTAAAACTTTAAAAGATGCTGAAAATGTTCATCACTTGACAGAAGCAGATGGTAAGATTAAACATACTCTGTTTTCTAAGTAAACTTACAAATCAGATTTCAAAGTACTTACTCTGGCTGTAAGTAGGACATGATTTGAGTGCATTTTACTCTTTGAGGAGACAAATGAAAGAGGATGTTTTAGATGCCTTATAAACTCATAAACAGAATCACTTGTAATCACCGGAGCACTAGAGCACTGTTAATTCAAAGCCACAAATGATGATTTCTGAGGCAAATTACAAAAGCTTTTTGCTTAATTATGCTATCTCATCGCTTAGTAGTGGAGTTCAGGGGGACCTTCAGACATGCATTCCATCCCTTTATGGAGATGATCATCTTTTAAAGAACTGTAAACTTCCACTTGGAGATCTCTACTTCCTGCACACAGGAGCAGATTTCTTCTAGTAAGAATAAGGCTGAAAAAGGAAGTATTCTTAAGCGAGATACTTAACAGTTAAGATGGTTAACTTCAGAGACACAGTGAGGCATTGCACTCTCATATTTGTATGTATTTACCTTGTCTTACACATCAGTGGTAAAATTTTGGGGTAGAGGATTGCCCTGCAGTTATTCAGTCACCACAGATTCCTGCAGCTGTCTACGGTTTCAGCACAATATGTTTTGAAGAGGTGATCTACACACTTTGGATCTTACAGCTAGAGAATAAGAGGGCAGAGAACACTAGCTAGTGTCATAAGGAACAGTTCATGTGGCAGGTTTCTTTTGACACTATTGATGTTTAATAGCAACAAAAGAAACCTAGTTGGTTTCTAGGTTTCTTTTGAACTGCCATGCTGCTACAAGCGACTTTCCCCCTTAATACAAAGCAGGAAGGAAATACATAACAGAAAATATTCTTGTAGCCCAGCTGACCTTCTTCAATAGCAAAAATATAAAGCATCAGTTTTTCTCTGTCATTTGCAATAGTGAAAGAAATTTGTCATATTTGATCATCCTATGTTTTAAGAAGAGACTACATGCGATAGAGTATATGTTGACAGTGCAGGAAAACAGAATCCCTTAATTGCAGAAAAATTACTATAGAACTTGTATGGGTTTATCTGACAATTTGGGATTATAATTGCAAATACACTGGCTTGTTCAGAAAGATTTACTACAGAGCAAGAGCCCTGAGATTTGTATAAATGAGACATTGAGCTCTTCCTGGAAGAAAGGTGCTAGGTCAGTGAATCAGATGAGTTGCACTAAAAATGACTAAATTTAGCAAGTTGCTACTCTTGTGTCTTTCCATCATGTTTTTATGTTAAAAAGACAGGCTTGTATGTGTGTGGCAAATAAAAACAAAATACTATTGACTTGCAGTTTAAAAAGTAGGGAAGAAAGGCTTCTGTGTCCTGTGTTTCATTTCAGAATTTCTGGAAGGGTAAGTCATGGAGTTGAATGTGTGTGTTGTAGGTACTCCGAGGTTAGGATTGTTAAATGGCTTTCTCTGATATAGCTGTAAGGCTCATCCCTGTTGTTCTCCCATTACTTGTCTGTAGGCTTTGGGTGGTTGTCCAAAGCTGTGCTATACAGAATCTACAGGAAGATTTTATGTAAAATTTAAACTGTAGTCTAACTTACTGCTTTAATTTCCAATTTGAAGGTGTAATGGTGGCTAGAGGACTCTTAGCAAATCCGGCTATGTTTGCAGGATACGAAGAGACACCTTTGAAGTGCATCCAGGACTGGGTTGACATTGCTCTTGAGCATGGAACTCCTTTTACATGTTTTCACCACCACTTAATGTACATGATGGAACGGATAACTTCAAAACAAGACAAGAAAGTTTTTAATGTTTTATCAAGTACCTCAGGAGTACTAGATTATCTGAATGACCATTATGGGGTGTGATAACTGAAAGTATTTTAGTTCTATGTAAACTTGTATTTTGAAATTGTTGATGCATTGTTAATGTTTTAATTGGGTTCCTACCTTTGAGTCAAATTAATATATTGTGTAAGTATTTTCAACACAGCACAACATTGTGATCAGGGTGATACTTTATATTTTTAGCATTTTTATGTCAGCATTTTTCACTCCAGAAAACATTCCAGATTCCACAAATGTGGAATTCTTTTTACAATGCACTGCTACACAGAGGATTGATTATTGTAGACTCCAGTAATTTAATTTATTTTATCACTAGAGAATTGCTTACAGCAATATGTTTGAAAAAGTAGGGCCTTTCTCACATGAAACCTCCTGAAATCAGAAGGACTCAAATAATACCAAGAATTTCAGACCAAAAGAATACAAAGGGATCAATTTTGCTTTAACTGACATAAGCTGTACTTTTAAATTTGAGTAGATTTTTCAGGCTTAGAGTCTGTGAGGCCTTGAAGCCCAACATAGTATCCTCTTTTAATTTAGATGTTCCTTTTGCAGACTAAAACTTTCTAAAGTAACTTGCAACTCAGAAAAATTCCGCACTTCATATAGTGAAAGAAACCTGGAGTAGATAAACGATGACGGAAAGAAGGAAAAAGTAAAATGAAGTGTGGTGGCTTACCCGGGCAGCCAGCAACTAGGACCACACAGCCACTTACTCACTCTTCTCCCCCACAGAGGGATGGGGAGGGGAATGGACAAAAAGTAAAGCTCGTGGTTTGAGATAAAGACAGCTTAATAAGACAACAAAGAAAGGAATAATAATAATGATGAATATGCAAAATAAGCTATACACAATACAATTTTTCTCACCACCCAACAACCAGTTGTGCAGCAGTCTCAGATTTTGCGGCACTTGCAGATTTCGCAGAGCTTGCGGATGTCGCCGAACTCACAAAAAAGGTCAAACTCATAAAAAAGGTCCAACTCATGGACCAGTTCCTGACCCCCAGCCAACCTCCATTTGTATACTGAGCATGATGTCTACAATATGGAATATTTCCACTGGCCAGCTTGGGCTGGCTGCCTGGCTGTGCTCCCTCCCAGCTCCTGCACACCTGCTCTTTAGCCAAACATGGGAAACTGAAAAAAGTCCTTGATTTCCTAGAAAGAACTGAAAACATCAGTGTTATCAACATTCTTCTCATACTAAATCCAAAACACAGCAGCTACTGGGAGGAAAATTAACTCTATCCCAGCTGAAACCAGGACATGAAGAGATGGTTTAAACTAAGTACAAACTTAGCTGAATCTAAAATACAAGAGTTGAAAGTTCAATCTAACTAAATTCAGTTTTGTTTATCTACTGTATAATAATTATATAAAAGATTAAATCCCTGTCATCTACCGAAACATAACTTTATAGGTCAAAGAAAAGCTGACAGATTCTCTCAGTGGGGCTCTTGCAGTCCTTTCAGCCTGCTGGCATGTTGCGTATCAAAGCATGACAGCCACTTGGCTTTGAATCTTTGTACAAGAGGGAAATAGTGAAAATTAGAACAAGATAATAACATTACACACCAGCTGCGTTTGTTCTGGAAGGGAAGTTTTCACAAAACTGTGCAGTACAATTATTTGTAATCAAATAATTCGTTTTCTTTATATGTATCTTTTCTTTATATATATCTGACATGTGACATGCAACAGTGTGAGAAGCTGGCAAAAGCCAGGGGGGGAGGGCGGCGGGGAGCCTCCAGCGCGGCCGGGGCGGGACCAGCGGGGGCCCGGCCCTCCTC